TAAAGCGAGATGGCTTAAAGAATCCTAGTCTGGCTCAGCAAGAAGTTGCATGTACGGGTCACAGAATTTCTTGTCGTCTCTTTGTCAAGGGCTCACGGTTGACCCATGAATTGCAGCGTCCAGTCCTAGAAGACGAAACCTTGATAAATGGATTACTGGAAGGTATGATTTATCATGTTTATCATGTTAAAACGTCGACGGAGGCTAAAATGTTCTAGGTTTACTACACTTTTCTCAATGCCATCGCATAGAAACCGCATTCGCATCTGTTGATGATTCCTTTCAATGTCATTTCGATTTTACATAATATTATATTTAAACTTCGGAAGAAAAAAATGTATAATTTCATAGCGTTCTCTATTTCAAACGTATAAATAAAGAAGTTGACCGTGTGTGCAAGCAAAGATAAAATAGAAAGAAAATGAAAGTGTCGCTAAAAAGTTAAGAATTATTAAATATAGCCCAGTTTTCAAAACTCGACGTATAGAGACATTTATTATAACTAGAAACTGGATAGATTAGTTTCGGTTTATGGTCAATAGAAGAGGGTCCTATATTTTGGCAAAACTATTTCATTCTGGAAAATCGAATTTTTCGAATTGAAACGACGGTATATTTTGGGGCACTAAGCCAGACCCTGGTCGGCTAACATAGTTCCACGCACGTTCTTTTTTTTTTTTTTCTTCCACTAAAGCAGTTTCAGATATTTTATTTCATTTTTTTTTCTAGCAGTCAACGTTTTCCTTAAGGGTATGTTACAAAAATGCAAATTTTACACCGGTACTTCATTCTAAACAAATAACACGCTCAATTTTCAAACAAACAGACCATGACAATGACTTCCGCATCCAATATTTTGAGCAAATTTTTTAGTAAAATTCGAACATTTTGTACGAAGCCTTTACCAACTCGCGCATCATTCATTTTTTTTCCTAGCATCTTTGGCTATCTTACAAGATAAAATTTACAAAACTAAAGGGCATGAATGTGAACACCATATTGCGTTTTAAATGTTTTTAGAAAGCTTAAATTGAGAACTCGCCACGTTTACATTGGGAGTTAATACTACAGACCCATTGAAGCATGCAACTCGCGACAGACAGAAACGACGACAATTTTAGACTGGGACCTGTTTCGTGATATCGTTCTTAGGTTACTTGAAATGTGTTTTGCGTTAAGAGAAAACAAAGTTGCGGTAACTGAAGAGAAATGCGTAGAAGAGCGCATTTCACTGGCGTCATTAAAAGAAGACCCATATTGAGTAAAACAAGTATACCATGTACAATCCAGGTCAGGTCTACTCGTAAAACTTAGACTTTCACTCGGAGTGCCCGTCTGCACCAAATGATAAAGCTACTATATAAAACAGAAATCGAACACGGTAAAATTCCCACATCACCCTCCCTGCACCTTACCGAACCTTTGCTTCTCGCTACCACCTCTCTCCTCCCTACCCCAGTCGAAATCACTCTTTTGTAAAACAATTGGTCTGACGAGAAAATTTATATTATGCATGCATAGGAAACAAAGTAAAAATTGCTTTAATTACAAAAGAAGCAAATTTCTTCGAAATATCGGGACGTTTGAAGAACCGGGGTAAAACTACTGTGTTTGACTGGTGAAGGGAATTAAGATTTGGTTCAAAATATCGGGAATTTAAAAAAAAATCCCGAGAGTTCGAGAAATCGTGACTCTACTGTACTTCACTGATTGCTCTGAACAGTAATAAGCGAGCTAGATGGCTTGAAAAATCCATGTCTCGCTCAACTAGAAGTTGCATGTAGGTTAATTCATTGCCGTCCCTTTGCTCACGATTGACCCGTGAATTTTCCGCCAGATGACGAACTCTTGATAAATGCTGGATTACTGGAAGGTATGTATTCAATAGTTTTTGCATGTTGAAACGTCGACGGAGCCTATAAATGTCTGCTCTGTTCTAGTCAGTTATCTAGTCTGTTCTTACTACAGATTTCTCAATGCAATCGTGTAGAAAACGTGTTCGCATCAGTTTCTGATTCCTTTCATTGTCATTTCGATTTTACATTTTTAATTTTAAACTTCGGAATACAAAAATGCACAATTTCTATGGGTTATCTATTTCAAACGTATAAATGAAGACTGAAGTTGACCATGTGTCCAATCAAAGATAAAACAAGAAGAAAATAAAAGTGTCGTTAAAAAGAACAATTGAATAAAGCCCAGTTTTCAAAACTCGACGTATTCTGATCGGAACTAGAAATTAAAGTGATTGATACAAAATGAGCCACGCGTCATAAAATCCATACATGTTCGTAGTCTTTTTTCCTCAGTTTTACTCAAACCATCATCCCAATACATATTATTATGCGTTCTTAACCAAGAAAGGGTTACGTCACCAAGTAAGACGAAAAATGAACGGGTCAGAATCTAAAGAAATATTAGAAGAAAAGTCGTCCAATAAAAGGACAGAAAATATATATCATCGAGCACGAAAAATCTTCAATAGATGGGTTGTTACAGAGAGATTTCGGGTTATGTGTGACTTTTGAAGCAGACCTTGAGTGAGAGCGAACGTGTAATAAGATTTAGAAGTTCGACGACTTTCGGATCTTTCATTTCGTTTACATTTAGTTATGAAAAGTGTTTTCACTCAATAATTTGCGTCTCAAACCAAAGAAAATTGAGAAAGGTATTTCGTTTAATAATCTCCTATAGATTTCAGTTCCTCCGGTCGTAAAGAGACAACGAGAGTGCATTATCAATGTTAAATAAGAAACTAAATAAATAATTACAAAAACAGGGAAATTTCTTCCTTTTTTCCAAGTCCAGGGTAATAGATCCATGGTTACCTTACATCTATGCTGTGGCTCACAGTAAAAGATGCCATTTCATTGGATGAATCGCTGACAAAAGAAACACTACAGCCAATGGGATTGCTCGTTGGAACATAGGTACAATGTTCCCTAAACTTGTTTCTACGAGCATAGAATGATTCATGACTGTCACAAAATAGTCGGAAAAACAAAGACAAGACAAGAATTTTAAGGCTTAAAAACAAACAGAGTATGTTTGTATACTTTTACTTATAATAACCATGGATTCTTCAAAAGTTACGTTACGTATTAATCACAATTTTCCTATTTCTCTGCAGTCCATTGATTTGTCCACTGAGACACTGTGGGTGACGCAACTGGAAATCTAAGAGGTAAGTTGAATGCCTCATAATAAACCGTGTCAGTGTGAAGTTTTGAAGAATATCTCCGTCGACGTTTTTTAGAAAATGTTTTAGAAATAAACTCGTCAAAAAGCGAATATTTTAAGAAACGTGTTCTTCTCAGAAAACTTATTAATCCTCCCAAAATTAAGCCTCTTGCGATCTGCATTAGCGTCACTCTCGAGAGTCAAATCAGTTAAAATTCTTTCACTTAAACGGTGCTTACACACTTTACAGAGAATTTTTCGGATTTTTCAAATGTTTTAAAGCTAGCAATCGATATTGTGTTAATCAGTTAATATACGATGGTCAGTCCAACAACAAAGCGCGTTACAGTAGTTTTGGATTTGTACCAAAAATCCAGTAAAGGGTATTTTCCAGAACTGACGGAGCTACTTCATGTAATCAAAAGCGTCAGAGATAAGATTAAGAAAAAAAAAAAACAGGATGTCTTTCGAGAATTTCACTGTCTGTGTCGGTTAGGCCCCTCTACACAAGAACCTGTTTAGCCTAAAGTTTGAAACAGGTTCTAATTTTAAAATGTTTTAAAAAATTTTTGTACATATGGGCAAATAAAAAAGGTCAACATTCATATCCCCGTTTGGCCGAGACATAGGCGCTTCAGCAATCCAACTGGAATGTATTGGTATGCGGTGATTTTATTTAAGGAAGAAGCCGAACACAACTTAATAGTCTTAGTTACAATGTATTTTTTCATTCAGAAAATCAATCAAGAACCTATTTAAGAACCGAAATAGCCTAAACTTTGCGCTAATTACCATTTATGTAAGAACCTGTTTAGGCTAACTTAGGAAAATGAAGCTTCTTAGTCGCGGGTTTTTACTAAATAGCCTCCAAAGAGTCTTAAGAACAGTTACACTGATAAATTTTTTGAATGGCGAATTTGTCGCATACAAAATTTTCAAAAAATTACATGTGCAGATATTAATGAGACCGATTGTCTCCATAGCTCGTTAAATTAACAAGTCAGTGCCCTTCAAACTTGGTTCAACTTGTACCTCAAAGGAAGTTTAAAACAGTTCTTATCATTGGCCGGTTTTCAAAATAATTGTTTAACGTCATGGAGCCTTCCAACTCGTTTTAACTTGCAACTTAAATAAAACAAAAGCAGTACATGACTCCTTTCAGTTGCGGGTCAATTAAGACTGGCTGATTTACATGTAACCAATAGGAATACTTCTAGTAACTTACATTTAACAATCTTTCAAACTTGTCTAAAACACGTTTTTATGTAAAATTGGTCAAAATAGGACATAAAATCCTTGGTAATGTTAAAAAATTTATCATTCGTCTTACGATCACTACAGTCGTTCATACAAGCAAGGTAGGACTTCAGTCTGGTTTCAATTTGAACTGTTACTTTTCACGAAATATTCAATGTAAGGCTTACTGCTACTAGCCTTGTTTTGTTGTGCGTGTGTGTTTTTTTGTTTGAATATTGCCTAGCAGTCGCTAACGTTCTATCATAAGCGCTAAAATCTTAAGCGAGCGTTTCAACGAAATGTCGAAGAGTTTTAAGCGTCCGTGTAAGTCCGACATATAATTGCAAGGACATGGTAATGTTCTCAAGTAATGCTAAAAGCCGGCCTGAAATTGATGAATGAAACTGATTTTTTTTTTCTCTCCAAAACAAATAACTTGACTTCGCCACAGATCATCAATTCGCATTGCTTGTTATCCCCATTTTTTTTAAAAAAATGTTAGCAAATCATTGAAAGTGATGCCTTTTTTAAGAATATTTGGCCATAATTTTGAGCGTACTCCTGTTTTTACAGGTTTCCTCATCATGCAAACCTTTACGAAGATACCGCTGGCTACTGTGTTATGCGGGCTGCTCTTACTGCTGATTACCTTGTGTTCTGCAAATGACAACAACAGCAGCAAACCACGTGACAAGGTCAGGTTGTTTAATCAAACATTGTAATAAATAGCTGTAATATATGAGAAGTGAAAGTCAGTCAATGGTACCTGAACTATTAACCTGAACGAATTGAGTGAGGTAGAATGAATGAACGGTGATTTTTTTATGTAAGGATGCTTGACTGACGTTGATTGATTGACTTAATCGAATGATTATGAATTAAAACGGAATGAATTTTTGAATTTTTCATTTAGAGTATTCCTCAACAGACATCATCTTATGGTTCCTGTGGTCATGGTGGGTGTTTCTGTGCACCAGGAATTCCCGGCATCCCAGGAAGCCCTGGACCCGCGGGACCAGCAGGTACCGCGGGGTCACCCGGCAATCATGGACCTGAAGGACCCATGGGCCCACGAGGAAACAAAGGTGATGAAGGAGCCCGTGGAAGACAGGGACTACCAGGCAGCAAAGGAGTTAAAGGACCTGCAGGCCCAGCAGGTCCACGTGGGGACAAAGGTGAAGCAGGTTCAGATGGTTCTCCTGGAAACAAGGGTGATACAGGTGCTCGTGGAAAGCAAGGTCCCCTTGGTCCCAAGGGACCTCAAGGACCCTCAGGTTCAGCTGGTTCCCCTGGAAACAAGGGTGATACAGGTGCTCGTGGAAGTCAAGGTCCCTCAGGTCCCAAGGGTGATCCAGGAACCTTTGGTCGTAATTGGAAACAGTGCGTTTTTAAGCATCTGGCCGATGGCAGGGACTCTGGATTGATCAAGGTAACAATTGCGTGGGTTTGATGTTCTAGATTAAATGAATAAATAAATAAATGCGACAAAAATTAATAATTACTGGTACCTTACGTCTCGCTATGAGATTATTACGCCATTTGGAGAGAAAAAAACGGAATGCGAATGACATTACCAGTTACGACAAGTTTATAAGATAAACGTATATTTTTGGGTCTGAAGTTGAGTAAAATCCACTATGGCAACTATATACTTTGTTCCCAGGGTCTGTCACTATGACGTTGATAGAGCAATCTTCGTATGACCTTGAAAAATGGTTTCGGTAAGTGATCGTTACTTGTTTTATCAGCCAATGGATGAAATATCAAAACATGGCCTCTTCGTTGTCCCGCCAAAGAAAACCGTAATATGGAGAGGGAATTGTTCAATTGGTCAATCGTGTTGCAGCATTAACGTCAAAGAGAAGTATCGGCTGATTTCTAGAAAGTTCTCGGACATGAAATTTTTTCACCCGAGCGTTCGCTTAACCAACCAAAAGCCACGCGCGTTTGTATCCCTTCGATAAACCAATCAAATCCGTTCGTTTGTTGTTGCTGTTTTGTTTGCGCGTTTTCATTTCAAGGTCATACTAATAACGCTCTAACATCGCAGGTAAGGAATCCACTGTTGAGGGTAAAAGTTTACAAAAGTAAAGTAACACATGCAGCTAAAGCCAAGTGAAAAGTCTGAGGAGTTAAGTTTCATTGTGAAAATACGAGTGTGTTGATTTCTTGGTGTTACAGTGAGTGAAATTCACGGCGAAGTTTTCAAATCCGTTTTCCTAGACGATCATGTCATTGTTTATCTCTGACGTTTAATTTTGGTTCACCTCGTTTTGATCTCTCCTCCTCTTTTAATTCTAAAGGAGTGCAATTTCAAGAAAACATCAAACATTACTGGGTTGCGTGTCTTTTGGAGTGGCAGTCTTCGTCTCGCTAGCTGCCATCATTGCTGCAGACGATGGTATTTCACTTTCAATGGTGCAGAATGTTCAACACCAGCTCCCATTGACGGACTGGTATACATGAGATATGGAAGTGGCTGGAGAAAGGATTTACAACGTGTGCGTCACATCGAAGGAGTCTGTGAGAAAATCCACAAGGGCACTGTTCGCGTGGGCTTCTGGGTCGGTAATTGTGCTGGTTTCGGATCTGCTGATGCTCAGACAGGCTGGAACTCAGTGTCCAGGTTGTACGTGGAAGAAGTACCTCCCCCACGGGCTTAATAACAGCAGAACCATAGTTTTTATTTCGGTATCAAAGATAACCATGAAAAGAGTGATGTTCTGAGAGTGATTTCAATAAATAAAAGGGCTTTAAAAACAATAAATGGCTTGTAATCTGAATCTACTGAACTAACCCGTTATTTTCTTCCCGATTCTTTGGTTTATCTTTTAGGTTATTTTCATGTGCTTATATTTTACAATTAAGTAACAGAAGTCAACATCAAATTCAGAACGACTAGTGTATCTTAATCAGCTGATGGTGCTACAACAGGGGCATCCAATGCAACTAGCGAATGTTTTAGAAGCCTGTTTGGTAAATTTAGAGGTGCCCCAAATACTATTCATCTGTTCGTATGTCTTAGGCGCACTTTCGTCTTCTCGAAAGTTTTAGGTGGCCTTTTCGTCTCATCTGAAACCGTTAGCTACCCTGATGGGTCCGGTCGCGAGTTTGAGGACATGGAGTAGTCGTATCTAACATGAGATTGTAAGGAACTTTTTGACTTTTACCGAATTTTCAAGAGACCTTTGTTAACTATAATCGCGCGCAATATCTTGCTAATAAAATGTGGAAAACACAACCTCCCAAATTAAAAAAAAAATGGCATAAAACCGAATATCTCTGAGGAAGGTAACTTTTATCCTGAACATTTTAACCATTCTCGGCATCATTTTCTCTTCCGAGGCCTTATTTAAAGAAAAAAATTCGTTGGGTACCCCTGACAAGAACTCATTTTGAAAGTGCGACCGTGGGACTGTCGTTGGAAAATGCATCTGAATGTTACACGTAAAGAGCTAAAACTGAGCTCGTATGAAGGATAAGGTTACGGAAATAAGACCGCGATGTTATAATGGTGAAATTTTAGAACAGAAAAGGGGCGCTTTCCATTCAACAAAAATTCCGGTTTGAAATTTCGGAAACTTCACGTGCTCAATGGAACGGTACATTCCGGTTGCACAGACCCAACCCAAGCCACCGCGCGTTTTGTTATTGACCACTCCAGAAAATACCATAACATACCATAATACTCTTTGTTTGTCACCCCAAAATTTTGCATAAGCATTGTTTTCAGTTTCTCTTGGGGCCTTTTCAACTCCCAAGAGAAACTGAAGACAATGCTTATGCAAAATTTTGGGATGACAAACAAAGAGTATTATGGTATGTTATGGTATTTTCTGGAGTGGTCAATTGTGGCTTCTCAGCACACTCATAATTACGTTCTAAAAGGGAAAAGTAAATACTGTTTACATCCTAAAGAACAGTCGACTGTCGAAAAGGGGCGGTGGAAAACTAAAGGCGGAGGAATACTATTTCGTGTAGAAAGCCTATGAATGCAAGTGAAGGGAAAAAATTCGTGTGAATTGAAGCGATACGTTTCTCAGAATATTCGAACGATTCGAAGCAATTCCTGGAACTGTATGGTAAATAAATTCGGTGTTTTAGCCAATTTGTATTCAGCCAGGCTTTGTTGTATTCATTTCAGCTTAAGTGATAAATTGCTTTAGTTAAATATCGTCGACAAGTTTCAGACAACGCTGATTCTCACGGACTTTTATACAACTGTAGCTTGATTTCACACATTTTTTTCACCTACGTGTCGTGTTGCGTCAGTTATTTGACACGGTTAATGGCAAATATCAAAAATCGAAAAAAATTGCAACTGATTCAAACTATTTGAGATGTCATGCTTTACTCACAGCACTTCACTTTCCATTGGAAACTACTTGGTCTTGTAAGCAGGATAGAAAAGAGCGGTACTGGGGACAACAGTTTTGGCAAATGGAAAGGGACATTTCGGTCCGACCGACCGAAATGACCAGACCAGTCACAGTGGACCACATTCAAAGCTGGTCCCGAATATTCCGGTCGGACCAAACCAAAATGGTTCGTTCCATTTGATGTACCAACCGAAATTACCGGAATATTGGGTTGAATGGAAAGCGCCCAAGGTCTTCAGTTTCACGCGAAAATTTTAGTCACACCCACCGCGCCGCGGATGCCAAACTTTTACCCAAGAAATCAAATTGTTGTTTAGCAATAAACATTGTAATTGCTTCTTTTGCCCGTTGCAAACCTGTTTCGTGCTGAATTTGGCAAAAGTTTGGCTTTTTTATGTGGAAAAAGGCCAATTCAGGACCAATTTGAAACAAACTGGTAACTTTCTTTAACCTATTATGCAAAATATTGGACTCTTACGGATGTGCTGCCACAATAGTTGATTCTTTAGGTAACGTTATTCCTCGTTTGTCGGGGGAAAAAGAAAAGTGTTTGACCAGAGATCAAAACGGTTCACTTATTGAAGAAATATTGGATCGCGGTTACTTTAATTTGCCCACCGTAAAAGCTACAATTTAGCATCTGCAACACTGGAGCAAAACAGGGATGTAGAAGGCAGTTTTGGGTCTTTTTGGCTAAGGTGAAAACTTCCTATTTGCTAGACAGAAAACGGCTTGGCTAGCATCAAAAGACGTATTTTAGCAAAGTTACCAATTGCAAATGGTTAAAAATAATAGTAAAAATAATGCTGATGACGATGACGTCGATGACGATGATAATAACAATCGAAAAAGGAGAAGCTTATCATTAAGTTCCGTAGTCCAGTTTATTGCTGAATATACGGGTAATTTGGAAGGTGAACACTGCCTTGGATTTCGTTCAATATTTTGAACTCAATAATGATGGTCAGTTAACAAATACATTTGTATCATGGTCTTTAGCCGTTAAACTGGGAATGCACTTTTCCAGAAAGTTTCCATGACCACCCATTAGGCCATAAAGATTATACCTGAAAAGTTATACATCAGGCCTCAGTTGTTCAAAAGTTGGATAACGCTATCCACCGAATAAATCACTATCCCACCAATAAGTGTTAGGGAAACCAATTGTGCTATCCAGTGGATAGCGTTATCGCCTTTTGAACAACTGGGGCCTATACTTTTAGTAGTGTTACAAAGACTATTGAGGAAGAGAATGGACCATAAGAACAAGTTTAAAAATAAAGCCAGGGTGATTAAATATGTTCTCCAAGTGTTAAAATGTAGTAAAGAATTCCTCTCATTCTCATTACCTCATGAAGGCAATATTATGAGGAACATACAAAGGGTTAAAATTGGTTATAATTACAAAAGTTGTTCAATACTATTCTACATCTGCTGCTAAGGAATAGATAGATATATAAATTATGATAAATACACAAATCATGCCAATATGCTTCTTGCTCCATACTTGTTGCATTGCCACAGCTTCAAATGATGAAGTTATTTCTTCTTTTTGCCACCTCCCTTCTTCTTGGGTGGCTTATTTTTACCTCTCATTGCTGCAGGCTTCATTACGTTTAGTGGTTTGGACTGCTTGCCAACTGCTACCTGAGTAAGCTCTTGCTCTATCTTAACTTTAACAGTTACTTCCGAAAAAGGAACAGAAATTAATGTTTAATGAGTGTCTTTATATCTGATAAAGACACGACTAAACTTTTCGTCCGATTTCTTAAGCCAAAATAACCCTAAATCTAAATATTAGTACAAGAATGAGTTGATCTGTATCAGTTTTTGAAACCGTTCGAAAAACTCGCAGTCGTGTATTATCAGGTTGAAAAATTCTTGGCTTCGCCTCGAGTTTTTAAACCTGATAATACACTCCTGCTCGTTTTTTAAACAGTTCACATCAAATTATGAAACATTAAAAGTTGAAGTGAGAGCGGTCTTTCCAAATATTGATTTTTTCCTCTCATACAGTTGTAGCTGGATCAAAAAATAGCATATTTTCTTAAATAAATAGAACTGTGCTCATTAACATCGCCACCCGGGTGGAATGTGAATATGAAGAGGAGGTTAACTGCTCCCCACAAAATGAGGCTGACCCGAAGGGTGAGGGGGAAATACAGTAAGGTGTGTGTTATTACCTTGATTACAGCTCTCGTGCTATCGCTGTTATTTCCTCTACGTAGGTTATTAAAAGCCCACTATAAGTTTGCAGTTATTCTGGATAGATACATTAGCACGTAAATGATAAAAGTAATAGCAGCCCCTCCACTCCTCATAGCGGGGAAATCCGAATGTCACCAAAAAAAACATTTGATTTCATTGTGAAATGATGCCAGACCAAGAGAAAGGATTTCCTCCAATGCCTTACATTTTAAACGTCAGATTTTTTTAGTTACAAATCCCTAATAAGTATTAGGAAAACCAACTATGTCATGCACTGAATAGAGACTTATCCAGTAGATAACGTTATCCCTCTTTTGTAACAACTGGGGCCTGAACCTTTCAAGATTACATACCGCCGAAAGTACAATTCCATCAAGAACGTCTTTTAACCGAAGCATTTGGTGTTATTGCGCACTCATACATTGGTTTTCGATTGAAAACGTTATTGTAGGATGTCTAAAGAGCAAAAAAATAATTGTATTCTTTCTTTATGATAAGTCTGGCGGCATGGGGGCAGGGGGGTCTAAAAGGACTGGTCATGAGGGCAGCTGAAGGGAACATTATTTTTATTTAGATAAAGAGCAATCAGGGGACACCTTTTGACCAATTGTTATCTATAAACCTGTTTGATGGATTCGAGATAAATAAACAGCACTTTAGTTGCAGTGAGTGTTTCAACTAGCTGGAGTTCTAGCAATTGAATTGTAAAAGCAGTCAGCAGCCTCTACCTATTGTTTTAATTCGACTGGTCCAGGATGATACTGTGAGATTAAGAGCAAGATTTACATAGCAACAGTACTTATCTCCGAAGAAGAAAGCTGTTTCGTTTAATTTGAAAAGTAGAGCTGAATATCTGTTGATCCAGAAAGATAGATTTCCGGGGAGGGAATTGTCGTATCTCAAAAAAACCGTGCCCGTACGTTGGAAGATTGGAATTAAGCCTCTCAACTGGGTGTGGCTCCAGCTTGATTTGACCACTGACTCGTTCCCAACGTCTCTTATTATTCTGTAAGCGGTCAAGGAACGGTTGCGGGAGACCATTAGACACTGGTGCGAAGGGGACGATGGGAAGGTGAAAGGGGAAATGAAGTCTCTTTCCTCCTTCCCATCATCCCCCGCACTTCCCTTTACCGCGCTTCTCTCGTTAATATTAATAGGAGACTGAGAGACAACTGGGGACGAGTCAGGATTTGACCCCAAAACTCCAACACAATGACGGCATTTGCTACTTTTACTTAGCTTAATCTTTATGCACAACCCAACGCAATTTATTATGGGTTAAGAACAATCGCTTTCCTTTCTGAACACCCTAAGTCAGACCAAAATCTGAAATTTCTACTGCTAAAAGTGACGACGAGGATCACCGTCATTTTTATATGGGAATCAGGCATAAAAACAATTACTGAAAAATTACATCGATTCGAGATTCATTCTGTCTTGGAACTTTCGCGCAGCGGCTTTATTAGGCTGTCGCCTCGCATCCTCGCGTCTTCGCGACGCTGTTCGTTAGCAATACAGTGGACTCCCGATAACTCGAGCCTTCAAGGCAAATCGAAAAAAGTTCGAGCTATCGGGAATTCGAGTTATCGGGAGCTCGAAGAAAATAACCGGGAGTAAGGAAAAGAACAGTTTCTACGGCACAGTGACCATTTTAATCACATTTAATAAGAAGAAATGTCAAGTGAAAATTAAAAGATTCTTCTTGATTATAAATCAGAATGTAACGTAATAAATAGCTTAATTAGAGAATGAGTTTTACTGTTTTGAGAAGTAAAGCTGTTTCACGTTAGATTTGTGACAAACAACATCAGCCTCCACTAGTAAACTATAATATGCCTACAACACGTCAATGGGAAATTCAAAATTCAATGTTTCGGACGCCAGAAGACTTTTTTCCCTGACTTTTTGAGGTTTTAAGGGCTCAAAACATGGTTAGAGTTATCGAGGGTAAAATTGCATAGAAACGATCTGAGGGGAAACAAAAACTACTTCGAGTTAGTGGGAGATTCGAGTTTCCGAGGGTAAAATTACAGTAAGTGTATGTCGAAAATCCAGGGGGAATCGATTTTGGTTCGAGATAGCGGGAGGTTCGAGTTATCGGGACTGGGCGTGAGGAGCGCGACTGAGTTCGGCAAGGCAGTAGCTGACTACGTTTGAAACACGCTCCAAGCCGTGGAATGCGTAAGTGTACGATCGCCAGGAAATACGAGTTGAACCAAAATTAAGGGAAATCAGTTTTTTTTACCTAATTTACTACCGTACATAATTAAACACCTAAGGTTCATTTTCGTTTCTAGTAGCTTCCAGTCTCGACTCCTTTGACATTTTCTCAGTGATCACAAGTATTGATCACACAATCAATACAGTTGAGCTAACTGTCAGCGCAGTTTCTTTGTAATTATAAATCATTAAAAATTTCACTGTTAATATTATGATGGAACTACATTTTTTACAAATCATTGCGCTCAGACTCATGCTTGTATCAGACGTTTAAGAGTTACACGGATTTTTTTAAAATGGAGGAACTGGATATCAGTTTCGGTTAATGGTCAATAGAGTAGGGTCCTATATTATGACGAAGCTCAAGATTTCAATTGAATTTTTCAAATTGAAACTACAGTCTTGTTTTGAGCACTGGACCAGACTCTTGTCGGCTAACAGAGGTCCACGCTTTAGTCAAAGATAGAAGCAGACATCCTGTAGGCAAGAGAAATATTTCCGCCAAGACAGTTTCATTTTTCTAGTAGTCGAAAGGTTCTATTTATTATGCAACGTATTGCCTACAGTGTATGTTACTAGAATGCAAATTTTACATCAGTACCTCAAAGTAAACAAGCAACACGCTCAATTTTCAAACAAACAGACCATGACAATGATTTCCGCATCCGATTTTTTGAGTAAATGTTTTAGTAAAATGCGAAAACTTTTTGTACAAAGCCGGGCTCAACTACCTTGCGACTCATTCATGCTATGCCTTGTATCCGTGACTATCTCAGAAGATGATATTTTTAAAACTTAGTAAAGAGCAAGACTGAACACAGCATCGCGTTTTGCGGAATTTTTTTTAGACGGCTTTAAGTGGACAAATCGCCATGTTTACGTTGAGAATGCTATAGACACACTAAAGCACTCGCGACAGGCAGAGACGACAATTTATTGCACAAGTATACTGGCTGGTCTAAAGTTTAACAAAGGGTCCTGTTTGAAATCATTAATATCTTTTTTAAGTTACTTGAACTTGTATTTCGCGCTAACAGAAAACAAAGTTGCGGTAACTGAGGAGTGAATGCGTAGAAAAACGCATTTCACTAGCGTCAGTTAAAGAAAACACATATTGACCAATCCAAATATACTATGTACAATCCAGTTCAGGCGTAATCGTAAAACTTGGACTTCTCTTAGAATGGCATTCTTCTTTATATAATAAAGCTTCTATCAAGAGAACAGAAATTGAACAAAGAAAAATTCCCACATCACCCTCCCCACCCGTTACACCACCTTTGCTTCTCACCGCCCCACCCTCCCTTCCCTAGCTTAGTTGAAATCACTCTTCTGGAGCCTCTCTTTTTTTGCAAAACGTGGTCTGACGGGAAAATTATCATACATGCAAAGAAAACAAAATAGAAATTGCTTTACAGTGGAATCCCGATTTTTCCAACAACCTTACATGGGAAAGCAAATTTGTTCGAATTATCGGGACGTTTAAAGATCGGGGTAAAATTACAGTGTTTGGCTGGAGAAGGGAAGTTAAGTTTCCTTCAAAATATCGGGAACTTCAAAACACCGAGAGTTCGAGAAATTGAGGCTCTACTGTACTTTACCGATCGCTCTGAACAACAATAAAGCGAGATGGCTTAAAGAATCCTTGTCTCGCTCAACAAGAAGCTGCATGTACAGGTCACAGAATTTCTTGTCGTCTCTTTGTCAAGGGCTCACGGTTAACCCATAAATTGCAGTGTCCAGTCCTAGAAGACGAAACCTTGATAAATGGATCACTGGAAGGTATGATTTATCATGTTTATCATGTTAAAACGTCGACGGAGGCTAAAACGTCGGCTCTGTTCTAGTTTTACTACACATTTCTCAATGCGATCGCATAGAAACCGCATTCGCATCAGTAGCTGATTTCTTTCAATGTCATTTCGATTTTACATAATATTATATTTAAACTTCGGAAGGAAAAAATGTATAATTTCGTAGCGTTCTCTATTTCAAACGTATGAAGTTGACCATGTGTCCAAGCAAAGATAAAATAGAAAGAAAATGAAAGTGTCACTAAAAAGTTAAGAATTATTAAATATAGCCCAGTTTTCAAAACTCGACGTATACCGACAGAGAAATTCTGATCGGGACGACAACTTGAAGTGATCGCCGAATACAAAACGAGCCACGCGTCATAAAATCTATACATTTTCGCAGTCTTTTTTCCTCAGTTTTTACTCCAGCCATCATCCCAATACATATGCGTTCTCAACTAAGAAAAGGTTACGTCGCCAAGTAAGACGAAAAATGAACGGGTCAGAAACTGAAGAAATATTGAAAGAAAAATAGTCAAATAAAAAGGACAGAAAATATCTCATCGAGCACAAAAAATCTTCGTGAGAGATGGGTTGTTACAGAGAGATTTCAGGTTATGTGTGACCTTTGAGGTAGATCTTGAGTGAAAGCGAACATGTAATAGGATTTAGAAGTCCCACGACTTTCGAATCTTTCATTTCGTTTAGATATAGTTATGAAAGGTGTTTTCACTCAATAATTTTCGCCTCAAACCAATTGTGAAATTTATGACGTCATTGCAAATTGAGAAAGATATTCCGTTTAATAATCTCCTGAAGATTTCTTCCTCGGTTCGTGAAGAGACCACGAGAGGGCAGTATCAATGTTAGTGAAGAAACTAAATAAATACAAAAACAGGGACTCCAGTTTTCTTCTCTTTTTTCCAAGTCCGAGGTAATAGATCGAGGTAATAGGTTACCTTTTATGTATGCTGTGGCTCGCAGTAAAAGCGTGATGCCATTTCATTGGATGAATCACTGAATGACAAAACAAACACTATAGCCAATAGCAGTACTCGTTGGAACATAGGTACAATGTCCTCTTAACTTGTTCCTGCGAGCATAGAATGATGATTCATGAATATCACAAAATAGTGGGAAGAACGAAGACAAGACAAGAATTAAGGCTTAAAAATAACAATAGAGTAGGTCTGTATATTTTTACTTAACCGCGGATTCTTTAAAAGATACGTTACGTATTCATAGTAATCACAATTTTCCTATTTCCCTATTTCCCTTACTCTGCAGTCCTTTGATTTGTCCACTGAGGCAACTGCGGTGCAACTGGAAATCTTAGAGGTAAGTTGTATGCCTCATAATAAATTAAACCGTGTCTGTGTGAGGTTTTGAAAAACATCTCCGTCGACTTTTTTAGAAAATGTTTTAGAAATGAACTCGTCAAAAGGCGAATATTATAAGAATGGTCAATTCTTCTAAACTGATTAATCGTCCCAAAATTAAGCGTCTTGCAGTCTGATAATAATTTAGCCTCTCGTTGTATTAGCTTAACTCTCTAGAGTGAATTCAGGTAAAAATTCTTAACTTGAACAGTGCTGCGCACTTTACACTTTTCGGATTTTTCAAATTAATGATTTAAAGCTTGCTACCGTGTGTTAATCATTCAACATATATATGATGTTCAGTCTATCAAAAAAGGGTTGCAGTAGTTCTTTTTGAGTTGTGCCAAAAATCTAAAAAGAATTCTTCAGAACTGACTGAGCTAATTCAAGGGGTCAAAAGTGTCAGAGTTAAGATTTAAAAAAAGAGAGAAAGAAACAAGGATATCTTTCGGGAATTTCACTATCTGTGCCAGTTAAAACCCCCTCAACACAAGAACCTGTTTAGCCTAAAATTTAAAACAGGTTCTTATTTTAAAATGTTTTTAAAAAAATTTTAACGCTGGGAAAATAAAAAAGTCAACATTCAGGATCCCGTTTGGAGACATAGGTGATTTATCAATCCAACTGGAATGTATTGGTATGCCGGTGATTTCATAAGGGATAAGCTGAACACAACTAAATACTCTTAGCTACAATGTATTTTTTCATTGCCAAATGAAATCAGCCTAAATTTCATATGTGCTAATTTCCATTTATGTAAGAACCTGTTTTGGCTAATTTGGGAAAATGCAGCTTCTTAGTCGCGATTTTTACTGAATAGCCTCTAAAGCGTCTTCAGAACAGTTACACTGATAAATATTTTGAATGGCAAATCTGTCGCATGCAAAACAGTCTTCCAAACATTACATTTGCTGATAATAAGAATGATTGTCTTCACATTTCGTCAAATTATCACGTCAGTGCCCTCAGTTCAAACTTGGTTTAACTTGTATCACAAAGGAAGTTTACATAGTTCTCATAAATCATTGGCCGGTTTTCAGAATAACTGCTTCACATCATGGAGCCTTCCAACTCGTTTTAACTTGCAACTTAAATAAAACCAAAGCAGTACATGACCCCTTTCAATTCGTCAATTAAGACCGACTGATTTACATGTAACCAATAAGAATACGTCCAGTAACTTACATTTAACAATCTTTCAATCTTGTCCAAAACACGTTTTTACGTAAACTTGGTCAAAATAGGGCATAAAAACCTTCGTACTGTCGAAAACATTATCATTCGTCTTGGGATCACTACAGTCATTCATACCAGCAAGGTAGGACTTGAGTCAATGTTTCTAACAATCTTTCACATCAAACTAATATACTCAGTTTAATTAAACGATAGCTTGGAGTTCTTCTCACGTGGTTTTAATTTGAACTGTGTCTTTTCACGAAATATTTAAATGTAAGGCTTACTGCTACTAATTTTGTTTAGTTGCGCTTAAATCTTAAACAAACGCTTCAGCGAAATGTCCAAAAGTTTTAAGCGTCCGTGTAAGTCCGATATATAATTGCAAGGACATGGTAATGTTTTCAAGTAATGCTAAAAGCTGACCTGAAATTGATGAATGAAACCTGATGAAACTGATATTTTTGCTCCAAAACAAATAGTAACTTCGCCACAGATCATCAATTCGCGTTGCTTGTTATCTGCATTTTGAATTTTTTTTTTTTTTAGCAAATCATTGAAACCGATGCCTTTTTAAAGATATTCGGCCATAATTTTGAGCGTACTCCTGTTTTCACAGATTTCCCCCTGGGTTTCCTCATCATGCAAACCTTTATGAAGATACCGCTGGCTACTGTGTTATGTGGGCTGCTCTTACTGCTGATTACCTTGTGTTCTGCAAATGACAACAACAGCAGCAAACCACGTGACAAGGTGAGTTTGTTTAATCAAACATTGTAATATTTAACAATTAATGAATGAGGCTGAGTATCTTATGAAGAATTATGGAGATCGAGGAGGGTGTTATCCGTCGAGGCCGTAGAGAATATTTGCGGAGCTGGACAAACCTAAACGTGCACTATCGAAGAGGAACTTAACATCGATGGATCGATGGAGGTTAGCATGTTTTAGCCATGTTATGAAACTAGGAATTATTTTGAATAAATAATAAAACAATTATTAAATTCGGCTTTCGTATCATATGAAAAATTATGGAGATCTCGCGTACGGCCTCGACGGATAACACCCTCCTCGATCTCCATAATTCTTCATAAGATACTCAGCCTCATTCATTAATTATTAATTAATGTATGAGAAGTGAAAGTCAGTCAGTGGTACCTGAACTATTAACCTGAAAGAACTTAGTGAGGTTGAATGAATGAACGGTGATTTTTTATTTAAGGATGCTTGACTGAGGTTAATTGATTGACTTAATCAATTGATCATGAATTTATAACGGAATGAATTTTTAAATTTTTCATTTAGAGTATTCCACAACAGACTTCACCTTATGGTTCGTGTGGTCATGGTGGGTGTTTCTGTGCAGCAGGAATTCCAGGCATCCCAGGAAGCCCTGGACCCGCAGGACCAGCAGGTGTCGCGGGATCACCCGGCAATCATGGACCCATGGGCCCACGAGGAAACAAAGGTGATGAAGGAGCTCGTGGAAGACCGGGAGCACCAGGCGTCAAAGGAGTTAAAGGACCTGCAGGCCCGGCAGGTGCACGTGGGGACAAAGGTGAAGCAGGTTCAGCTGGTTCCCCTGGAAACAAGGGTGATACAGGTGCTCGTGGAAAGCAAGGTCCCCCTGGCCCCAAGGGACCTCAAGGACCCTCAGGTGCAGCTGGTACCCCTGGAAACAAGGGTGATACAGGTGCTCGTGGAAGTCAAGGTCCTCCAGGTCCAAAGGGTGATCCAGAATCGTTTGGTCGAAATTGGAAACACTGCGTTTTTAAGAAGGACGATGGAAGGGACTCCGGATTGATAAAGGTAACAACTGAGTTGGTCGTTGTAGATTATATAAGTCAATCCGAAGCAAATTAATAAGTCTGGTTATGACCGATTTAAAAACTCTTTAACACTTCACAAAGAAAAAAGAAAAGAAATTTTAAATGTTTAATGAGAGTCTTTATATCTGATAAAGACATGGCTAAACTTTGTAAACGTCAAATTTTTTTAGACCAAAATAACCCCAAATCTAAATATTAGTACAAGAGTGAGCTGATCCACATCAGTGATTTTGAAGTCGTTCAAAAAACTCGCAGTCGTGTATTTTCAGGGTTAAAAACTCCAGGCGAGTCATTTGAGAAAAGAAAAATGCGTGTTTCGGAACTTGTGCGAGCTATCCATGGAATAATACAAAATGCAGGGAAAAGGTCCAATTTATGTTTAAGATATATGTAGTAGTTAATTTTTTATCTCAGGTAATTTTCATTTTTCCTTTGTTTCAACTTCATTAGCATACATTACCATAACCAAAAACAAAAGAAAAACAAAAATTACCTGAGATAAAAAAATTAACTACAACATATACGTACGTTTTTTGCAGGTTCGTAGCGCCCTTTACGCAAATACAAACGTGCATACTTGAGAAATTGCTAGGATTTTTTTTAAAGATTTTCTGTTATAAGTACTCCTGGTAAAAGCTATATGTAGCTTCGTCTGACTTAAGTTTGTTTTGTGCAGATTTGTTCCTGTCTGTCTTGCTGTTATTCCGCATCGTTTTTACCGGTAAAAAAAAGAGCAGTTTGAGTAGTGGAATGTGATAAATTCGAGCGAGACATTCTTGAAATGTTTACCTTCAGGCGATCCCACAATACATTGCGTACTCATGAAAAACGGAAAAGAATTTCTGTTCACCTCGCTGATTTTTCTTCCTTTGTTGATTTTTAAGGAGTGCATTTTTAAGAAAGCATCAGACACTACTGGGTTGCGTGTCTTCTGGAGTGGCACTCTTCGTCTCTACAACTGCCATCATTGCTGCAGGCGATGGTATTTCACTTTCAACGGTGCTGAGTGTTCAACACCAGGTGCCATTGACGGTGTAGTCTACATGGTACATGGAAGTGGTGCGAAAAAGGACTTACACCGTGTACGTCACATAGAAGGAGTCTGTGAGAAAATCCACAAGGGTACTGTTCGCGTGGGATTCTGGGTCGGCAATTGTGCTGGTTTCGGATCTGCTGATGCTTACACAGGCTGGAACTCAGTATCCCGGATATACGTGGAGGAAGTACCTCCCCCGCAGGCTTAATAACAGCTGAGCCACAGTTTTTGTTTCACTTTCAAAGATAACCATGAACAGAGTAATATTTCGGGGGTAATCAGTAAGAAAACTGAAGTAAATTTTGATTATTAGAGCCAGGGGATAACTTTTTCGCATTAAATCTCTTTTGAAAGTGTAGGGTTTCAAGCTTCAGAAGTTTACATTACATGTTACAAGATAACAACAATGTTTGAGCGACTTTTTGTTATCTCAATTAATAAAAGGGCTTCAAAATAAAATAAATTGCGTGAAATATGAATTTACTACCCTTCCCGACCTTTATTTTCCCTTTGTTATCTTCTTCCTGATTCTTTGGTTTATCATTTAAGATTATTTTTCTGTGCATATTTTTTACAATAAAGTAACAGAAGTCAGCATCAAATTCAGAGAGATAAGTTATCTTCAGCTGATGGTACAAAAAAGGGGCACTCAACGAGCGATCGACCCTGACAACTTTGTAAATTTGGAGGTGCCCTAAATACTATTTATCTGTTTGGATGTCTTAGGGGAGGTTTAATCGTCTCAAAAGTTTGAGGTGGCGTTTTAGTCTCATCTGCTCTGAAACTGTTAGCTACCCTGATGGGTCCGATCGTAAGTTTGAGGACATGGAGTAGCCGCACCTTAAATAGAAGATTCTACTGCGGAACGTTTTGAATTTTTACCGAAATATTTGGAAGACCTTCTTAAACAATAATCGCGCGCAATATCTTGGTAATAAAATGTGAAGAACGCAAACTCCCAAACTGAAAAAAATTCGTATGAAACCGAATATTTTAGATGAATGTAACTTTTAACCACAAAATTCTAGCCTTTCCCGAGCTTAAGAAAGATTTCGAGGTATGATTTTCTCTTTCGAACCGAAATTTGGCTAGAATTTCATTTTGAAAGTGCGGCCGTGGGACTGTCGTTGCAAAATGCTACTCATAATTTTACACGTAAAGAGCTAAAACTGGGCTCGTATGAAGAATAGGGTTAAGGAAATAAGACCGCGATGATATAATGCTGAATCCAGAACAGAGAAAGGTCTTTTCACACTCAAATTTTAGTCACAGCCGCTTCGCCCCGGATCCAAACCTTCACTCAGGAAATCAAATTGTTGCTTGACCTTATTCGTTTAATGAGGGAAAATATTTGACTGTCAGGGATTTTTTGCTCGATGTGGTAACATTTGAGTCTTCCGGTAAATTTATTCCTTTGTTGGGGAAAAAGAAAAGTGTTTGACCAGAGATCAAAACGGTTTACTAATTGAAGAAATATTGGATCGGTAACTTTTGCGCATTCCCGAACTTTAAAAGCTACAATTTAGCATCTGGAACACTGGAACTGCAGCCTGATAGTCCCGCACTTAAGAGGGAGTCTCCCTAAAACCGGTCCACTGCGTTTCGTATGGAATGCCGTGTGTATCAAAAATACTTCTTACCATATGTAAACCTTTACATTAAATATATAAAACATTTTGCTTTATGAATAAAACTTCTTAATTTTAGTATTAAGGTTATAGTGCACAATTAAAACTTGTTACAAAATATATAAAACTTGTTGAAAAATATAAAACTTTTCACGATATATAAAACTTGTCGATATATATAAAACTTGTCACGCAATCCTGAAAGGTGCAGGGGCGGTTGCTTGGCAAAGGGTTGGTTCGCAATCTCTTTTTAGTCCATCATGGCGGATGATTTTACATGCATTTTGGGCGATGAATTCAAACGATTTATTGAAGAACTTCCCTACGAAGAGTTGAGGCAAAGTATTTTTACAGAAGAATTAGAAGTTGTGGATCGGTTACTTGCCCTTTCAGAAAGGATCGGATTTGCCACGAATCTGTGTTTACCGCGGCCTTCCTCTTCACCTTGCATTGCCTTCGTCTACGGGTTCGGGTTGGCATCGAAAACTATTGTCATCACGGTCTTCCTCAAGCCAATTTACGCGCTCTCTAGTTAGACCTTCGTACTGATATCGCAGTTCAGAGACTCAAAGATGCGAAGGAAAAACACAAATTCGCGGCAAATCCTTTCTGAAAGGGCAAGTAACCAATCCGCAACTTCTTATTCTTCTGTTAAAATACTTTGCCTCAACTCTTCGTAGGGAAGTTCTTCAATAAATCGTTTGAATTCATCGCGCAAAATGCATGTAAAATTAATTACTGTAGTTTGCGAAACGAAATGGAGCGGAGCGAAACGAAACGAAACGAAACGAAATGGAACGAAACGAAATGAAATGAAAATCTGTAGTTTGCGAAATGAGAATCTGTAGTTTGCGAAATGAAAATCTGTAGTTGTAGGGAAAATGGCGGACTACTCGTAGTCTATTCTCGTTGCGTCTACTCGGATATCCTAAACAGAAAATTCCCCCGAAAAAGCTGTTTCGCCCAGAAAAATTTAACTTAAGCTCAGGCGCTCAAGTTAAGCCCTGTCGGTCGGGGTTACGAACTGGATTGGTGACCCACCGCGAAGATCGTCAAGGTCCATACGTTGTTTTTTCTTTTCTTCTTCTTTTTTGCGTATTATGTGGTGTTATTGTTAAGAGTGTATTGAAAAGCAGATTTAGCATTATTTCTGCGTCCGGATTTAGAAAAAAAAAACAAAGAACAAATATGGCCTGGTGCAGTTCGCCCGAAAATTATTATTCTTCGGGCCGTAATCCAGAGCTGAAACTTTTCAGACTTTGATCTATATATCGGCGGGGAAACCGGCAAACTAAGAAATATGGGTTTTCGACAGTGTAAAACGATCATAATGCCTCTGATTCCAATCTGCTATCCCTCTGTCTCTTGTTGTCGGCGTTGCCTTCGTTGTGCTAAGCGATGTTCCTTCTGCTCCGCGGTTTCTTGTTGACGTCTTCTCCTTTGTTGTTCACGCTGAATTTGAAGTCGGCATTCTCCAGAGGATTTTCATTTCGCAAACTACAGATTTTCATTTCGCAAACTACAGACAGATTTTCATTTCGCAAACTACAGATTTTCATTTCGTTTCGTCCCATTGCGTTTCGTGTCGTTTCGTTTCGCAAACTACAGAAAGCCAAATCATTCGCCATGATGGAGGACTAAAGATTGCGAACCAACCCTTTGCCAAGCAACCGTCTCTGCACCTTTCAGGATTGCGTGACAAGTTTTATATATATCGACAAGTTTTATATATCGTGAAAAGTTTTATATTTTTCAACAAGTTTTATATATTTTGTAACAAGTTTTAACTGTGCACTATAACCTTAATACTAAAATTAAGAAGTTTTATATATTTAATGTAAAGGTTTACATATGGTAAGAAGTATTTTTGATACAAACGGCATTCCATAGTTTCGGGTCGGAAAATCAATTTCCTTTAAACTTTGCCCATGAATATATCTTAGTCCAAAAGTAATTGAAACCGCATTAGTTTTTGAAAATATTTCAAAATAAAATTTTTCGGGAGGAAAATCACTTCAGCACTCGGCGGCCAAATTTTTGCAGTGACAAAGAGTAAAAATAGCGCATTTTGCCGAGTTCACCACTTCAAAGTTTTGCACTTTCAACGATTTTTTTCACTTCCTAGGATTAAATTGGTCCTTAAATGATGTAAAGGAGACAATTTTGGTCCTTCAAAAACAACTCGTGTCTACTAAATATTTTTTGATTTACACCCACTTTGCCGTACGCAGGAAATGACTCAAAAATGCATATTTTTATCGTAGCACTGTGCAAAATCCCCACATCTTCTAAACAAAATGTCTTTTCAGACCAACAAAGGGAATGTCCAAAAACATAGAAACATAAAAATATGTTGTGATTTTAACGATTTATCAGCACAGCCGATCGACGAAATATGCCTATTTTCCGTCATGACTGTTTACAATACACGATGGAAGGTCTTAATGCAAAGCCCGAATAACACAATAATTCATCAAATGTATCAAGTATTTTAAACTTTTTGTGACTTTTGACACAATAGAACATCATGTAGGAAAGGAAAGCCTTTAAGCCGAACGCATTAATACTACAGGTGTACCTGTTTACAGCGCTTGATCCGATCGAGTCGTCTTCGCTGTGTACACAAAACTGATATCACATGATGGCTCCTGTCACGCATTCCTATATCTGGAATCGTTACGCCGTGAAAACACTTTTTGCTAGTCTGACTGAAATTGAAAGGCAGGAAATTATCTTATCAATAGAGTATTCTATTATATTTATTGCTGTTTTCGTTGACAAGCTACAATATCAAGAATCATGCATGCATAAGTGCCCAGTTCATTAACAACAGCAACTTCTTAGTTTTCCTCGAACAGGCTCCTGTCCATTCAGGTTAGCATTTATAAAACAATTGGTTGTCGCTATGAGCTTTCTCTTTGTTTTGTTTTATGCTTGTCGTTTAAGTTTGCATTTTTTATTATTTTTAATATATTTCATATTTCTGGTAGCCCATGGTATTAAACCGACGAGTACCTGTTTTCAGGTCTTATCAAGCTCCCCGAATCAGGGTGGGCCTGGGGATAGGGGTGGAGTGTGCTTGCTGGCAGGAGGTCCGCTAGACTGTTCACAGTCCTCTATTTTTCCGTAAATCGTCGGTATCAAGCACATTCTCTAACAGATGGCCATCTTGGTTTTAAAATGTACCGGGTTTAGCCTGGGGATGACTATGAAATCTACTCTTGGGGCAGCGGACCCAAGAAGGCCCGCACATCTGGACGATTTTACGGAAAGATAAGAGACAGTGAACAGTCTAGTGGCCCGCAAGCAAACATCCCCCTTGCTATTATCCTAGAACAAATACTGTATCTTTGAAATTAGGTTACCCTGCATTTAAAACTGGCGTGCTGGTTTACCTCGTTTAGCGCTTTCGATTTTGACTCTATTCCTTCCGTTTCTGGTTTGACTAATATCTTGTACGTACACTAGCTAATAATGACTAGTAGTTTTAGCCAGGGCTAAAAGTGCAGCTCTGACTCGTTAATTTACTCAAAGTTGTATCCCAGAAAAAAAAAAATTAATAAAAATCGTGTAATGCTAACCGGTGACGGCAACGAGAAATGCAAAAAAAATCAATAGG